CTGTCTCAGGAAAAAAAGAAAAAGAAACCAAAAAAACCTTCCTTTGCCAATTTGACAAGTATTTATTGAGTACCTGCTGTATGCCAGGCACTGTGCTTAATCCTGAGAAACAGCAGCAAGGAAGAAGAGACACTGTCCCTGCCCCAGTAGGACTCCAGCCGAGTAAGGGGAAAGGAAGAGAAAGACATGAATAATCACATAAATGAATGTCAAATGATGCAGCAAAGGGAAGGCACATGATGCCTAAGTGTAAATAACCAGGAGGCCTAAGCTGGGGGAGGAGGGGCCATGAAAGCTTCCCTACGGAGCATGGATAAGTCTACCAGGCAGAGGGAACAGTATGTGCAAAGGCCCTGTGGTAAGTAGAAAAATCAGGAGAGAGACATATGACCAGTAGAGCTGGAGTGCCCAGTTGGGGTTGGGGGTAGGGGGAGACAGTACAGAGTGGGGTTGGAGGAGGAGGTTGTACCCAGATGATGTGGGGTTTTGCAGACCTATTACACGTATATTGGTCCTCCCTCTGGGTGATGCGAAGCTGTTGAGGGGTTTTAAGCTGATGAGTGACACGGTCTGTTTGTCTTTGGTCTTCTTTCACTTGGAATAGACATTTAGCCTGCCTTTCCACTCGTGGGGATGTGGCCAAAGTTTTCATAAATATTTAACATGTTCACAGCCAGGGACCAAGGGCCAGGGGAAGCATTAAGTGAGATGTTTTTTTCCCACATGCAGTTGAGAGCAGCGGTTTTGCTGCCCTCATATAAGCAGTGTCAAGATCATTCATATCCTCCTTCTCAATGGAAGGGATGAAGGGGTAGGCTAACACCTTCAAAGGGACTTATGCAGAGACACTAGGGAGTAAAAGCCAGAGAATACACAGAGGGCGTTTTTACCTTTAGGGTCTGCGTCTCTGGCTTTGGCCATCAGGGTCAGTGAAGGGACAAAGAGTAGGAGTGAGGAAGGAGGGGATGAACAGCATCGCTCGGATATTTAAGTACCATCCTGGTCTCCTGTCTCCAACCTTAAGAGAGTGGACCAGCCACAGCACCTCGTCTGGACTCTCAGACCTGCTGCTTTGTCTCTACCAACCTTGGCAGGGATCTAGGATCCATTTAGTGGGATCAGGTCCCAGTCAATACAATTGGGGCTCAAATAAGTTCTTAGAACCACAGAGTCGAGGGCCAGGGTCCCAACTCATAGGTGACGGAGTTCCCTTCGAGCCAGACTTTTTTTTTTTTTTATCAGAGTCCCATACCTTGCGGGTATTTTCTCAATCAGTGGACACCCCAAGTCCTAGCCCATGAGGGTACACCACGTGTTTTGAGTAAAAAGGGCTCCTTTTAATGAGGATCCCTTTCTAGAGGCTTTGACTAACAGTCTCTTGGCACCCTCAGAATGAAGTTGAGAGCGTCACAGGGATGCTTAACGAGGCCGAGGGGAAGGCCATTAAGCTGGCCAAGGACGTGGCATCCCTCAGTTCCCAGCTCCAGGACACCCAGGTGAGTGTCCTGCCACATCATCCAGGGGACCTGGGGGGGTGGCCTTCCTCGGGGCGGGTCCCTGCGACCTCCGTGCGTCCCTTTTGCAGGAGCTGCTTCAAGAAGAAACCCGGCAGAAGCTCAACGTGTCTACGAAGCTGCGCCAGCTGGAGGAGGAGCGGAACAGCCTGCAAGACCAGCTGGACGAGGAGATGGAGGCCAAGCAGAACCTGGAGCGTCACATCTCCACTCTCAACATCCAGGTGCCTGCCCTGTGCCCTTGCTTCCGTCACGGGTCCTCTCAACCTCTCTGCGCTGAGATCCCCCACGGGCAGATCGCGGTGGAGTGTTGGTGCGATGGTGCTTGACCCCCCAGCTTCCCCTGCTACTGGGTTTCTCTAACAAGGAGACACGGTTTTCGCTTCTCAGAGTCTGTGCAGCCAGGGACAGGGGTCACTCATGGTCCCCCTCTCACCCTACCCTGGACGCTGTCCCTGTAGCTCTCCGACTCGAAGAAGAAGCTGCAGGACTTTGCCAGCACCGTGGAAGCTCTGGAAGAGGGGAAGAAGAGATTCCAGAAGGAGATCGAGAACCTCACCCAGCAGTACGAGGAGAAGGCGGCCGCTTATGATAAACTGGAAAAGACCAAGAACAGGCTTCAGCAGGAGCTGGACGACCTGGTCGTCGACTTGGACAACCAGCGGCAACTCGTGTCCAACCTGGAAAAGAAGCAGAGGAAGTTTGATCAGGTAGAGGGCATGGGGTGTCCTCCACTCTGGCCGTGGATGCTGGGTGGGGGAATCAGCTCTGCAGAGTACGACGCGTGGCTCCCGCCTGTGCCTGCATCCCCTCTCCACTCTGTGGGGAGCCATGGGAGGCTCTCTTGTCTTGGGCGACCATGGAGCATTAAGGCTACCGGGTCACAGTAAGGATGGCACAGAAGTCTTGATGTCTGTGACTTTTCATGGTGACTTTTCAGCACCATGAGGGTCACCTGCACACATGGTGCTGCCTTAGTTTCTAGCCTCAAGAAGGAATGAGGTGCATATTTCATTCACTAAAAATATTTATGGAATACCTATTGAGTAGTCTCCCAAGTAATTCAGTTTCTCTACTTTTAATACCACCCTTCCCTAAGATTTCATTCTGTACAATTCCAAGCACACAGAAACGTTGACAGAATTGTACAGTGAACATCTGTAAGGCCACCACCTTTATTCAGTCATTGACACTGTATTATATGAACTTTATCACATATTTATTTATTTTGAGACAGGGTCTAGCTCTGTCACCCAGGCTGGAGTGCAGTGGTGCGATCTCAGCTCACTGCAACCTCTACCTCTGGGTTCAAGTGATTCTCCTGCTTCAGCCTCTCAAGTAGCTGGGATTATAGGAGTGCACCACCATGTCTGGCTAATTTTTGTATTTTTAGTAGAGAGAAGGTTTTGCCATGTTGTCCAGGCTGGTCTCAAACTCCAGGTCTCACATGATCTGCCTGCCTTGGCCTCCCAAAGTGCTGGGATTATAGGCAAGAGCCACTATGCCCAGCCCACATATTTATTTATAAAGACTAATTCTATCGATCATGCCTTATCTCTTGGGTACATTTCAGAGCAAATTACATCAGTACATTTCCCCTTCCATACCTCAACATTGCATATTAATTGAGTTTATTTTTAAACACAGTTTTGCTTCTTTTGGGGTAAAACTTACATGTGATGAAATGCACCACTCCTAATTGTATGATAAATGCAGACCCTTGTATGACCCAAACCCCTAAATACCAACTTTTAAGATATATTATTTAGTAAATATGATTGAGTTTACAAGTGACTCAGGGTTATTCTAAAAATCAATTTGAGAGGCCAGGCACGGTGGCTCACGCCTATAATCCTAGCACTTTGGGAGGCTGAGGCGGGTGGATCACTTGAGGTCAGGGGTTTGAGACCAGTCTGGCCAACATGGTGCAACTCTGTCTCTACTAAAAATACCAAAATTAGCTGGGCGTGGTGGCGCTTGCCTGTTATCCCTGCTACTCGGGAGGCTGAGGCAGGAGAATCGCTTGAACCCAGGGTGGGGCGGAGGCTGCAGTAAGCCAAGATTGTGCCACTGCACCCCAGCCTGAGTGACAGAGGGAAAACTCCGTCTCAAAAATAAATAAAATGAGGATTGTACAGTGAGGCTAAATGCCAGATGCCTGAGGGTTCCTTACCCCTCCCTGACTGGCCTCATAGTGTCAGGACTTTAGATGACATCCCAGTTCCTCCTTTTCCCATCAGCCACCTCTCCTCTGGGCTGTCAGCTCATCTTCACTGCTTCATTACCTGGTTGAAGGCCTGAGGTTGCTTTTATTTTCCTGTCACAGAGTGTAGTGCAGTGTCACACATAGCGGGGGATTTTTGTGTTGACCGTGCCATTCAGAGGTCCCTGTCTTTGCTCAATAGTGGAAGTTTGGCTTTTGGATGTTACAATTCATAATCTGCTCTGTCCTCTCTGAAGATGAGATTAATGTGAGCATGGAATGTTCTCTGAGTTGCTTCTCCAAGCAGAGAGATACGTATGCAGGGCCACCCACGCTTACCGTTTCCCTACTAAGGCACTTAGGATAGTTTTATGAGATATTAATAGCTACTTGTGGCCATGAAACAAAATAATAACTAGCTTCTGGTAGCTTTACATGTCACTTTCACCTCAGTGTGCTCTAAGCAACGTGGGCAGCTTTAGTGGTTTCGAAGCACAATTTGGACAGGTGTGGCGGCTCACACCTGTCATCTCAGTGCTTTGGGAGGCAGAGGCAGGAGGCTCACTTGAGGTCAGGAGATCGAGACCAGCCTGGCCAACATGGCAAAACCCGTCTCTACTTAAAATACAAAAATTAGCCGGGCGTGGTGGTGGGCACCTGTAATCCCAGCTACTCGGGAGGCTGAGACAGGAGAATCGCTTGAACCCGGGAGGAGGAGTTGCAGTGAACCAAGACTGTGCCGTTGCACTCCAGCCTTGGTGACAAAGTGAGACTCCATCTAAAACAAACCAACCAACAAAAAAACGATTCAGCTGGCTCTGCATAAGGTTGATGTAGAATTCAGAACGCCAGATTATTATATAAACTACTCCCATAGATAACCTACATTGCTTACACCTGCACCTCGATACATTCGGTAGGACACAGGGCTTTTCCCCGGTATTTACAATTCAGTGAAGCTGACCCCGGATATGCCTAGGAGTCACCTCTGGGTCTTATGCTGTGTTGTAGTTGTTAGCCGAGGAGAAAAACATCTCTTCCAAGTACGCGGATGAGAGGGACAGAGCCGAGGCCGAAGCCAGGGAGAAGGAAACCAAGGCCCTGTCCCTGGCTCGGGCCCTTGAAGAGGCCTTGGAAGCCAAAGAGGAACTCGAGCGGACCAACAAAATGCTCAAAGCCGAAATGGAAGACCTGGTCAGCTCCAAGGATGACGTGGGCAAGAACGTAAGTGGCCCTGGGTTGTTTTCCTGTCCATGTTTCGCCCACCCACCCTCTGTGCCGTTCACCAGTCCATGGGAGAAGCTGGCTCCGGGCCTTTTTCATAGCGAACTATCTTTGGAAATGGAAGGTTTTTGGACTGGTGCAGGGGCTGGGAGGGGCTGAGAATGGCAGTCGAGGATGGGTCTGAGTTGGGGGGTCCGAGCTCTCAGGGGCCATCTTGAGTCCCGGCCATGCATCCTGTGGGAGGCCAAAGCTACCTCCCTAACCTCCTGCGCTGCCGCTCATGGTGGGTTTCTCAACCGTGCCGGCAGGTCCATGAGCTGGAGAAGTCCAAGCGGGCCCTGGAGACCCAGATGGAGGAGATGAAGACGCAGCTGGAAGAGCTGGAGGACGAGCTGCAGGCCACGGAGGACGCCAAGCTGCGGCTGGAAGTCAACATGCAGGCGCTCAAGGGTCAGTTCGAGAGGGATCTCCAAGCCCGGGACGAGCAGAATGAGGAGAAGAGACGGCAACTGCAGAGACAGGTGCGTGCTGCCGGGGAGGCCAGCAGAGGGCGGTGGGGTGGCCTTGTTCATTCCTATCACCACCTCCCACGGTCGGCATGGAAAATTCGTTTTTGTTTTTTTGGAAACAGAGTCTCACTTTGTCACCCTGGCTGGAGTGCAGTGGCGTTAGCTCAGCTCACTGCAACCTCTGCCTCCTGGGGTCAAGCAATTCTTCTGCCTCAGCCTCCCGAGTACAGATTACAGGCGCACGCCACCGTACCCAGCTAATTTTTTTTTTTAAGGGGAAACGAGGTTTCACCATGTTGGCCAGGCTGATCTTGAACTCTCTGGCCTCAAGTGATCCATTCTCCTGTTGGCCTCCCAAAGTGCTGGGATCATAGGCCATGAGCCACCCGCACCCCGTGAGATTCTGTTTTCTCATCTGCAACTTGGGATGAGATGCCTGCCTCGCAGGGAGGATGTGCTGGGGAAGGGGTGCAATGACGTGCTGCCGGGGTGGGCTAAAGGACCTCCCAGGGGCAAGTGGGGCAGCACACATCTCTCTTCCTCGCCCAGCTTCACGAGTATGAGACGGAACTGGAAGACGAGCGAAAGCAACGTGCCCTGGCGGCTGCAGCGAAGAAAAAGCTGGAAGGGGACCTGAAAGACCTGGAGCTTCAGGCCGACTCCGCCATCAAGGGGAGGGAGGAAGCCATCAAGCAGCTACGCAAACTGCAGGTGGGTGACACTAGGAGCTCGGGGCATGGGCAGAGGGAGGCCACAGTGCCCTCAGGCCACCAAAGTCAGCAGAGCAGGCTCCAGGAAGCCAGCCCACACCTGCCATTGGTGTGGGTTCAGCTGGGGCTTTTCTAGCACCATTCAGGTTTTGGTGGCTGTCTCCTGCCCTGGGTAGGGCAGCATTATTAGGTATCTGGCCACTGCCCTCAGATCACATCAGAGGCTGGGCTTCTCAGGCAGGTCTGTGGAGCCCATCCAGAATGGTGCTCCCAGTCCACCACCCGCCACCTGGGACTGAGGGCCATGCTCATGCAATGGGAACTTCTCTGTGGTTCACTGCAGAGGGGTAGGTGTGCAAAGCTAAACTGGACAGCAGAACTTGGGGCAGTAAGGACATCTGAGCTTGTCCTTCCTGTTGACTCATGCAGGCTCAGATGAAGGACTTTCAAAGAGAGCTGGAAGATGCCCGTGCCTCCCGAGATGAGATCTTTGCCACAGCCAAGGAGAATGAGAAGAAAGCCAAGAGCTTGGAAGCAGACCTCATGCAGCTACAAGAGGTAAAGCCTCGTCTTGCTAGGAGAGCCTCAGATGCGGGTGTCATGGTAGCAACCCTTGGCAGCTCCAGTCTGTGCATTCCCAGATTTCATTTCCTCCTCTTATGGGTTCCACCTGTCTAGAAAGACGCATGCTTCCCTCCTCTATGGATTCATGGGGCCGCCCCTGAGCCCAGAGGAAGAACATGTACTTTCAAGGGTGGCTGAGGAGGGAGGGTGGACTCTCGGGGGGCTTGGCCTTTCCCTGGCAGACAGCAGGCTTCCTCCCACCCACCTAGGACCTCGCCGCAGCTGAGAGGGCTCGCAAACAGGCGGACCTTGAGAAGGAGGAACTGGCAGAGGAGCTGGCCAGTAGCCTGTCAGGAAGGTAGGAAACTGAATGGAGGAAGTCGGCTCTGAAGCAGAGGATGTGGGGAGAGGCAGCATCCTTGACCCCCATTTTATTAAAGTTTTTCGAGACACAGTTTCATTCTGTCATCCAGGGTGGAGGGCAGTAGTGAGATCTCGGCTCACTGCAACCTCCACCTCCCAGGTTCAAGTGATTCTCCTGCCTCAACCTCCCAAGTAGCTGGGATTACAGGCATGTGCCACTGTGCCCAGCTAATTTTTATAATTTTAGCAGAGGCAGGGTTTCACCACCTTGGCCAAGCTAGTCTTGAACTCCGACCTCAGGTGATCCTACCTTGGCCTCCTACAGTACTGTAATTACAGGTGTGAGCCACCGTGCCTGGCCCTGAACCCCCATTTCAATGCTATTGCTGACAAAGCATCCTCTGAGATTGGGGACAGACCCATGGTGGTTAGGTTTTCCCTCAGCACTTTCATGCCTCTGTTTGGGGGTGTGGCTGCTTTCATTCATTCCCAATAAGTAGCTGTATGGGGAGAAGGCGGGGCAAAGAAAAGTCAGGAAGGAGTGTGCTGGTCCCCATCCCAGTTCCAGCTTTGCTGATACAGACCCGGTCCAAGTCCCGGCCGCCCACTTCCTGGCTGTGTAACTACAGATGAGTCTTCTAATCCTCTCCAAGACTCAGTTTCCCCCACTAGATGATGAAGGCAATCCCCCTGAGGCATCACTCCAAGGAGGGGGCATCTTCTAAGTTGGGGGAGGGTAGAGGCCCCCAACATGGCTGCCCTTCCCCCAGGAACGCACTCCAGGACGAGAAGCGCCGCCTGGAGGCCCGGATTGCCCAGCTGGAGGAGGAGCTGGAGGAAGAGCAGGGCAACATGGAGGCCATGAGCGACCGGGTCCGCAAAGCCACACAGCAGGTGAGGGCCACCTGGGCACCACAGTCTCACTGCCTACTGTCTCTCCTGCAGCAGGATCCTGCACCGGTCAACACATGCATGGCGGCTTCCTGCGTGCAGGCCCTGGATTGAGGGACAAGAGGGTGGCAGGGCCTGAGAGTAGAAATCCAGGGCCCTTACACCAGTGCCCAGGCTGCTGTCTTCAGAACACCCATCTCCATGCTGCAGTATCTCATTTTCCAGCCACAGCGTGTCTGGCTCCCTGTACCTCAGGGCTGTCCCTGGAGTAGAGGCCTTGGGATGCTCTTTCATTGTGTTTTCCCCCAGCTGAAGCTCTGGCCTTATCCAGTGAGCCCTTGGTGATGTCACTGAGCACCAGTTCCATGGTGGGCACTAGGGACCATCCTGTGACCTGCAGCCCCTTGTGGTGTAGGGTGAACAGGCATTGTTCTCCAGGCGACTCCAGGACAGAGAAAGCAAGGGACAAGTCACTCGTTCAGCCTGGGTGGCACTGTGACACTTGTGGAAGCACCTCTTTTTTTGGAGACAGGGTCTCACTCTGCTGCCCAGGGTGGAGTGCACTGGCGCACTCTTGGCTCACTGCAACCTCTGCCTCCCAAGTTCAAGGGATTCTCCTGCTTCAGCCTCCCAAGTAGTTGGGACTACAGGCACGTGCCACCACTGCCCAGCTAATTTTTATCTTTTTAATAGAGAAGGGGTTTCACCATGTTGGCCAGGCAGATCTTGAATTCCTAACCTCAAGTGATCTGCCTGCCTCAGCTTCCACAAGTGCTGGGATTACAGGTGTGCGCCACAGTGCCCGGCCTGGAAGAAGCTCTTGAGTGGAGTTTTACAGGATGAAGGAGAGAAGGACAGGGCGCCCGGGATCAAGGGACTCGTGCAGAGGCCCAACAAGGCTGGAGGCAGCAGGAGGAGGTGCATGGTCTCAGTGCACTGTCCTGGGCTTCCCTGAGTTCACCTCGCAGCCTTCACTCTCCTCCCCAGGCCGAGCAGCTCAGCAACGAGCTGGCCACAGAGCGCAGCACGGCCCAGAAGAATGAGAGTGCCCGGCAGCAGCTCGAGCGGCAGAACAAGGAGCTTAAGAGCAAGCTTCAGGAGATGGAGGGGGCCGTCAAGTCCAAGTTCAAGTCCACTATCGCAGCGCTGGAGGCCAAGATTGCACAGCTGGAGGAGCAGGTCGAGCAGGAGGCCAGGTATGCGGCTCTGGAGTTCTGAACCCAGTTTGTCCCGGGGTGATGGACAGCAGGGGTCATAATGAAATCAGGGAACCTCTTCCCAACATCAGTTCTGGCTTGTAAGAAGCAAGCTCTGTGGTGCCCACAGTGCAGGTGTGTTGTGAGAACTGAATGTAAACACAGCAAAGTGCCCTGCTGGTGCCTGGCCTAGAGCAAGCACCTAAAATGTGAGCTGCTCGTAGTATCGCCATGGTCCTCCTGACATTAACCAGCCTTCCCAGAACATGTGGCTTTTCTCAGCCTCAGTGGGGATAGCATGCTAACAGACCAAAAATCCAACCAGGGTGGACATGGTGGCTCAGGCGTGTAATCCCAGCAATTTGGTTGGATCACCTGAGGTCAGGAGTTTGAGACCAGCCTGGCCAACATGGTGAAACCTTGTCTGTACCAAAAATTAGCCGGGTGTGGTGGCACATGCCTATCATCCCAGCTACTCAGGAGGCTGAAGCAGAAGAATTGCTTGAACATGACACGGGGAGGTTGCAGTGAGCCGAGATCATACCACTGCACTACAGCCTGGGTGACAGAGTGGGACCCTGCCACACACATACACACACAAAAAAACCCCAAAAAACAAAAGTCCAACCAGCAACTCATTCGGTACACACACTGGAAGGCTTCTTAATTATGGGTCGAATGAGGCATAAGATCACAACACATTTCTTCTTTTTTTTTTTTTGAGACGGAGTCTCGCTCTGTCACCCAGGCTGGAGTGCAGTGGCCGGATCTCAGCTCACTGCAAGCTCCGCCTCCCAGGTTTACACCATTCTCCTGCCTCAGCCTCCTGAGTAGCTGGGACTACAGGCGCCCGCCACCATGCCCGGCTAGTTTTTTGTATTTTTTTTTAGTAGAGACGGGGTTTCACCGGGTTAGCCAGGATGGTCTCAATCTCCTGACCTCGTAATCCGCCCGTCTCGGCCTCCCAAAGTGCTGGGATTACAGGCTTGAACCACCGCGCCCAGCCCATATTTCTTACCATTGGATTCTAAGGATTCTCACCCATTCTCTTCTAGCAGTGTTTTCGGTAATTCACATGCCCTGCAATGCACCCATTTAAAGTGTGCAATTCAAGGGCTATTCGTATGTTCACAAACATGTAAAACGATCACCACAGTCAATTTGAGAACATTTGCATCAGCTCAAAAGGAAACCCCAGGCCGGATGTGGTCATGCCCATGATCCCGGCACTTCGGGAGGCTGAGGTAGGTGGGAGCAGCACTTGAGTCCAGGAGTTTGAGACCAGTCTGGGCAGCATAGCAAGACTTTTTTTTTTTTTTTTTTTTTTTTTTTTTGAGACACAGTCTCACTCTGTTTCCCAGGCTGGTGTGTAGTGGTGCAATCTCAGCTCACTGCAACCTTTGCCTCCTGGGTTCAAGCAATTCTTCTGCCTTAGCCTCCCAAGTAGTTGGGACTGCAGGTGCATACCACCATACCTAGCTAACAATTGTACTTTTTAGTAAAGATGGGGTTTTGCCATGTTGGCTCAGGCTGGTCTCGAACTCCTGACTATATGTGATCTGCCCACCTCAGCCTCCCAAAATACTAGGATTACAGGCGTGAGCCACCATGCCTGGCCAGAGACTCCATTTCTATAAAAAACTTTTAGAAAGCCTGAGTATGGTGGTATACGCCTGTAGTCCCAGCTATCTGGGAGGCTGAGGTGAGGATTGCTTGAGCCAGGAGTTCAAGGCTGCAGTGAACTATGAAGTAGGGTGGAGAGCGGGCATTAGAGCACCACTACACTCCAGCCTGAGTGACAGCAAGACCTTGTCTCCTCCCTGCAAAAAAAATAGAAACCCCATGCCCTTTAGCCACTCCTTTCAGTCCCTGGCAACCAAAATCTACCTTCTGTCTCTATGGATTTATCTATTCTGGACATTTGTTATCAATGGAATCACAAACTATGTGGTCTGCTATGTGTCTTCTTTCACTGGGCAAGGATTCCAGGGTCATGCATGCTGTGGCGTGCATTCATACTTATTCCTTTTCAGGGCTGAATACTATTCTACTATCTGACGGATCCTTGAGAGGAGTCCAGATGTAGGGCTCAGGAGAGCACTCAAGATGCCACCTCCGGGTGACACATCAGCTGCAAGGGGTGCCACCCTCCTCTGAAACCACCTGTTTTCCTTGCTGTTTGCAGAGAGAAACAGGCGGCCGCCAAGTCGCTGAAGCAGAAAGACAAGAAGCTGAAGGAAGTCTTGCTGCAGGTGGAGGACGAGCGCAAGATGGCCGAGCAGTACAAGGAGCAGGTAGCCCCCGCCGCCCAGCCTCCCTCGAGCCCCCAGCCCTCCAGCCGGCCTCCCCTACCCACTCCTCCAACTCTCCCCGACAGGCAGAGAAAGGCAATGCCAGGGTCAAGCAGCTCAAGAGGCAGCTGGAGGAGGCCGAGGAGGAGTCCCAGCGCATCAACGCCAACCGCAGGAAGCTGCAGCGGGAGCTGGATGAGGCCACAGAGAGCAACGAGGCCATGGGCCGCGAGGTGAACGCGCTCAAGAGCAAGCTCAGGTGAGCAGCCCGTGGCCCAGGAAGACCCTGTCTCTCAGGCCAGAGAGAAGTCCTGGGGGCTTAGGCTCCCTTTGGCCTGCAAACACCCCCTGTGCCCACAGCCACCACTTCCTTCTGTGGTTTATTCCTGCTCCTCCTTAATCACTAAGCTTAATGTGGGCCAGGCACTGAGGCAGGCCCAGATCAGACCGGGGCCCTGCCTGGTAACAGCTTACCTTCTAGTTTCTTTAACAATCGACCATCTCCCATCCCGTCCTCCAGGTGAGGAGGAGGAAGGGGCTATCCCCACTGTCTCCTCCAGCCTCTCCTTCATTGCATCACTGAGTCTTCATGCCATCCACTGAAGCTGCAACACCACCCCTTGGCACTTCACCTCCTTGCTGACATGCTCTGCTCCTCCCTTCTCCCCCTCGGCACTGCTGCCATCTGGGCTGCATTATTCTCGGGTATGGGGGCTGTCCAGCATTCACGTCAGTGGGAAAAAGATGCCTGAAAAGTAGCAGGTGCTTACATTCCTGGCCTCTACCCACCGGCTGCAGTAGCCCCCCACTCCACCACCCTGCAATGTGACAACCAAAAATGTCTCTAGGTGTTGCCAGAAGTCTCTAGAGATGGGAGGGTACAGCTGCCCCCCCGCTGAGAATTCCTGCTATTACTGGAGTGGGGGCTGTTTTCTCTCCCACGCCTTGGTACCCTGGGGTGTCCCCACTGTTCCCAACGGCTGCTTCCACCACCCTGTCCGTCCATCCCAATTGGCTCCCTGGAGGTTTTAGCTCCAGGCTTCCTGTCTCCCACGCCACTCCTCACAGTTGTCCATGATTTCAACATCCATGTGGGCAACACAGCCTCTCGGTTCCTTACTTTCCGGGTGATCCTGCTGCTTCTACCAGCCTAACCAGTGCTCCTAGGAGCCCTCACAGTTTGACCCTCAGGAATCTCATTGTCTGCCTGGCGCCACCTTTCTTTGGCTCTGTCCCCAACAGGGTCTTCATTCCCTCAATGCCATCAGCCTCTGACCCAGTTCCAAACCAACCGTCTAGTAACCCCCATCGCAGAACCTCAACAGTCGGTTCCCCCTCTTGCATTGCTGCAATCACTTGGTGAAAGCACAACCCAAATGAAACTCAAGACTTGGCCGGGCACAGGGCTCACACCTACAACCCAGCACTTTGGGAGGCCAAGGCAGGTGGATTGCTTTGAGCTCAGGAGTTCAAGAGCAGCAAGACCCTATCTCCACAAAATATCTCCACAAAAAGCAAACAAACAAAAATCAGCCAGGCGTGATGGCGCACACCTAAAATCCCAGCTACTCAGGAGGCAGAGGTGGGAGGATCAGTGGAGCCCCAGAGGTCAAGGCTGCAGTAAGCCATGATCTAGCCACTGCACTTACCCTGGATGAGAGAGTGAGACCCTGTCTCGAAAAACCCAAAACTCATTCTCCACCTTTTCCCATAGAGCAGGCCTTGCTCAGGGGTCTTCCACACGCCTCTCTTATCTTCTCACTCTCTGTTCTTTTCACTTTTTCTTTGAACTTTTTATCGCTCCTCCCCACGGTCACTCTCAGCTGGGGACCTTACTTCCTAATTAAATCAAAAGCAGAAATGATCATGAAACGTGCACAAGCTCCCACTGCCTCATCACCCTACCTCCCTGCACCTCTGCACACTTCTACTTTCTTTTCATTTCTGTGCTGAACCCTCTGGCACCAAGCAAGGCCAACACCTCCATTGGACCCAGCCCTCTTGTTCACTCAAGCACATGGCTCCAAAAATCCCTACTCTGCAAGGTTTTCTCTTTCATTTGCTCCATCAGCAAATGGAATAACCTCTTAACCCCACATCTACCTTGCTACCCTTACTACAAAACTGTATATGAATGCCGAAATCCCGTCTCTACCAAAAAATATAAAAATCAGGTGTGGCGGCACATGCCTGTAGTCCCAGCTACTCAGGAGACTGAGGCACAAGAATGGCTTAAAACCGGGAGACAGAGGTTGCAGTCCAGCCTGGGTGACAGAATGAGACTCGGTCTCAAAAAAAAAAAAAGACTATGAAGAGCTGCTGGTTCCCCTCGCCCCCACCCATCACTCTCCCAGAAGCCTCCCATGAGCGACACCAATGGCCAGATGTCCTCTGACAGGGCAGCAGCACATGACGCAGCCCATCATGCCTCTGGCCTGATTCACTTGCTTCCCTGGACTTCCTACACACCATCCTCGCCTGCTTGTCCCCCCAATCTGTGGGGTTGTCCCTCTTCCTCTCCTCTGCTGATCCCTCATCTCAAAACCTGCTTACCACCAGAGCACCCTAGGGTATCAACTTAGTTCTCTTTTGACATGCAGTCTTGCGCTGTTGCCCAGGCTGGAGTGCAGTAGCACTATCTCAGCTCACTGCAACCTCCGCCTCCTGGTTCAAGCTATTTTCGGCTACTTTTTGTATTTTTAGTAGAGCTGGGTTTCACCATGTTGCTCAGGCTGGTCTTGAACTCCTGACCTCATGATCCACCTGCCTTGGCCTCCCAAAGTGCTGGAATTACAGGCGTGAGCCACCGCACCCGGCCTCAGTTCTTTTTTCATCTCTGTTCCCTGTTCTAGGTGAGAGGTTTCAACTAGTCTTGGCGCTTTAGAATTCCATCTATATCTAATGACTCCTCAGTTCATCTTTGAGAAGCCCTAGCTTCTTCCTAGAACCTCAGACTGGCCTCCCGTTCCCACATGGATGACTATAGGCAGCTCACACCAAACATGCTGTACCCCAAGCCCTGACTGAATGAACCTCTTCACCCCCAAACTGGCCCCTCTCTCCAGCCGAGCAGCTAAAATGAAGTTGCCAACAATTCAGATCACAAACCTCGTGATCCTTCTTAACATTTTTGTCTCCTTTATACCCTACATCCTATCTGTGGGAGAGAATCTGGTCAACGTGCCCTAAACAATCCTGCCCAGGCTGGGTGCAGTGGCTCACCCCTATAATCCCAGCACTTTGGGAGGCCAACACAGGTAGATCACCGGAGGTCAGGAGTTCAAGGCCAGCCTGATCAACATGGTGAAACGCTGTCTCTACTAAAAATACAAAAATCAGCCAGGTGTGGTGGGGCGCGCCTGTAATCCCAGCTACTCGGGAGGCTGAGGCAGGAGGATCGCTTGAAGCTGGGAGGCAGAGGTTACAGTGAGCCAAGATTGTGTCGCTGCACTTCAGCCTGGGTGACAGAGCAAAATTCGATCTCCAAAAAAAAAAAATCTCCAATGTCTAGGATAGCACCAGGCAAAGTGAACCTTTATCCCTCGGGTCCTAGATATTTCCCCCGCTTCATTCTCATACCACCACAGCCATGTGCTAAACCTCTTACCACCTTTAATACCGATGACTTGATCTTTTCTTTTTAATTAAGTTTTAACCATACATGCATATAATTGCAAATAAAACATACCACCCCTATATATTTAAACCAGCATCACCTCTATCAACCGGTCACAATGAAATTAATACGATGAAAAGAGTATCGAGTTCAGTATCTAGCTACTGTGGCCACAACTTCATCACTAAGACCTGAAGGCTACTTCTCCATTATAAAGGGAGTGACAACAGCCATTAGCCCCAAATAGACTGACTCTGACATAATTAGACCTGTTTTTAAAAAGTTGGAAAGGAAATGACTTTCTCGGGGTGCAGTTCAGTTACCGCATGGCATGCCCGGAAGCCATCGGAAATCACCTCTAGAGTTTGGGGACCACTGCACGAGACAGGGAAAAGTCCAAACCCCTCTGAAAAGGGGAAGAGAGCAGCTGAAGCAGGGCACCAAGCCTTCAGGGAAGAGCCCCACTCGCTGAAGGGCGAGGGCTTGTTGGCCTCCCATGGACAGGAGAGAAATCAGGCCTAAGCTCCCACAGTACAGCTGGGGCCTGGAAGCATCTCCCATGATTGAGGGGGAGAGCTGCTGTCACCGTGAAGACTCCTAGGAGCCAGGTGCGGTGGCTCTCGCCTGTAATCCCAGCACTTTGGGAGGCCGAGGTGGGCAGATCACCTGAGGTCAGGAGTTCGAGACTAGCCTGGCCAACATGGTGAAACCCTGTCTCTACTAAAAGCACAAAAGTTAGCTGGGTGTGGTGGTGGATGCCTGTAATCCCAGCTACTCGGGAGGCTGAGGCAGGAGACTCACTTGCAACCCAGGAGATGGAGGCTGCAGTGAGCCAAGATCACGCCACTACACTCCAGCCTTCAGAATAAGACTCTGTCCCAAAAAAAAAAAAAGAAAAAAAACCCTCGGACATGCTCTGCTGGCAACCGGTCCCCCGCCCCTCCTGAGAGGCTGGGCTGAGGGATGGGGACACAGTCACTCTGACTCTCTACCCCACTGCTGTCTCTGATTCCCTTTCTCAGGCCCAGTGATTTTTTTAATTTTAATTTTTATTATTTATTTTTAGACAGAGTCTAGCTCTGTCGCCTGGCTGGAGTGCAGTGGCGTGATCCCAGTTCACTGCAACCTCCGCCTCCGGGTTCAAGCAATTCTCCTGCCTCAGCCTCTCAAGTAGCTGGGATTCAGGAGCGCACCACCATGTCCGGCTAATTTTTGTATTTTTAGTAGAGACAGGGTTTTACCATGTTGTCCAGGCTGGTCTCAAACTCCTGGCCTCACATGATCTGCCTGCCTTGGCCTCCCAAAGTGCTGGGGTTACAGGCATAAGCCACTGCGCCCGGCCGGCCCAGTGATTCTTGAGCACACACTGGATATCCCCTGTGGGCTCTGTTCCAGACACTTGAGCTTTTTTGGGCAGCCAAGGGCAGAGTGGAACAAAAAGACCGTTTTTGCCAGTTCCGACATGAACACACACGTAATGCAGGTAGAAGGTCTGTCCTGCCTTTTTTAGGTGCACAAAAACATAAAACCGGGCACTAGGGTCCTTAGGGAGGTTGGTAAGCATGCCTGGCTCCTCAGCCAAGAAGGAATTGCAGTGCGAATTTCACCAAGTTTTATCAGCCAGACACATCACAACACAAGCC